TGATGATATTTATTAGGCTGTTAGTATGCTTTTTACTATTTTTTATTATGTTTTTGTCATAGATGTTCTGTAGTGTATTTTTTAATGTTGTATGCCACCTTGGAATCTTTTGATAAAGGTCGGTATATAAATTAAATTAGTAGCAGTAGTAATAGTAATAATAATGATGGTGATGATGATGTCAGCAGGCACAAGCACAGATCAACAAACATGGAAGGAGTAGCTTAATTATCTGGAATTGGGCTGCCCAGAGCTATCAACTAGTTTTCTCCCTCAAAAGTATTAGGTAAAGGCTAAGGTACCCCTGCCCGTACGGGCCAGTCTTGACAGACTCTAGGGTTGTGCGCCCATCTCACTCAAGAGGCCGGGGCCAGCGCTGTCCGCAGACACTTCCGGGTCACGTGGCCAGCGTGACATCGCTGCTCTGGCGAGCCAGAGCCGCACACGGAAACGCCGTTTACCTTCCCGCTAGTAAGCGGTCCTTATTTATTTACTTGCACCCGGGGGTGCTTTCAAACTGCTAGGTTGGCAGGCGCTGGGACCGAACAATGGGAGCGCACCCCGCTGCGGGGATTCGAACCGCCGACCTTTCGATCGGCAAGCCCTAGGCACTGAGACTTTTACCCACAGTGCCACCCGCGTCAAAAGTATTACCACTGGCCAAATCTAAATGAAATATAAACAATATTTTGTTATTCAGTGTCCTGTCGTCTTAGGAGCCTAACTGGAAGAAAGAGGTGTGTCCAAATTGCTAGGGCTGTATCCAGTGCTAGTCCTTCTCAGAGTAGACCCACTGAAATTAATAAACCTAAGTTAGTCATGCACATTAACTTCAATGGGCCTACTCTGACAGAAGTAATATTGGATACTCTTCCTCAAAAAAGCAATGAGAAATAGGCCATGTGTTACAAGAAAAAAAGTTGAAGAGCAGAGATTGGAATTGCTATAATGATATCAAATGCCAGTATGATAAGCAGGTTGTTTTATGTAGCTTTCCCCTGTAAAAGTGTGTGTGTGTGTGTTTGTGTTCTAAAACTGAAACCTACATTCATTTTGAAGCCTACACCAGTTTGTTGCAAAGTTGCCTGAAGTTTACTCATGCTTTGATTCACCATGTACATAGGGAGCACCTGAGGACTCACTTGATTGTCTACCAGGGTTGATACATAAGTAAAGATCAGGGGAATAGGAGCATTATCAAAACGCCCTGCATACAGACGGTCCCAACTTTGATCTGCCACAACTTCAGCCAAAAAAGGAGCCTATTGCAGAAGGACTGGGAAAAACTCCACCAAAGGCCCTTGGAGAGCTACCAGCCAGGCAGAGCAGACAGCATGGAGTGAGCTATGACTGCCCCATGGGCCTAGGCAAGGGAGAGGCAGCTGCCCTCCAAATCAAGCAAATAAATAAAAATGCTTAACTGACCAATCACATCACAGGTAACTCGGTTCTGTACCCCTTAACATAAATCGTGGCTACACCCATGGACTGCCTGCCCCCCAAAACTTTGCATGCCTTCACCAGATAGGAATGTATTTCAGAATACTAACACAGTATACCCTATTTTTCACTCTATAACACGCACCCGACCATAACACGCACATAGTTTTTATAGGAGGAAAATTCGTAGGCATGCCACCCGTAGGCATTCCCTCCATAACACGCACAGACATTTCCCCTTACTTTTTAGGAGGAAAAAAGTGAGTGTTGTGGTGCAAAAAATACGGTACTTCCTGAATAAACTGAGTAAGTACATAAATCTTGCCAGTGAGGAGGAAGGAATGGTTTTCAAGTGGGTTTTGATTTTAAAAATGCATTCTTGAGTCCAAGGACAAAACCCTAAGAAGATGACTTGATAGTCCTGATTACTGTGGCAATCAAACAACATGGGTCAGTGTATGCAATCAGCAGAACCCTTCATTTTTCTGGAATAGATGTACCCCTTCACTGTGGAGGTGGAAATGTTTCATTTAAGAGACAGGGAGCAGGAGAAAGAGCTATCACCATGCACACAGATGCCAACATGTCAGGGAGAAGGGTTTGTCCTAGAAGTCTCTTGACAAGTCTGTTGTCTATGTTCCTAAAGGGCTGAATTTTGAACCCTGCCCCCTCCATGAGAGCAGCATTCAGACATGCAACATTCTTGCCTCCATATTGAAAGGGAGCATTCAAGGAAAAGCTTTTTGCTATGGTTCTGCTGATTCCAGCCAAGTAAGCCCATTTCAGACTCATGAAATAAGTACATTTCAGACTCCATCTGACCTATAAACCAGAGTAATGCCCTTGAGAGCTGAGCTGGTCTGTAGACCTCTGTCTAGAAACATCAGCTACCACCATCAAATTTACCCTCTGCTGCTTCCCAAATGATGGGAGAGCTGAGTAATAAAACACTAACAAAAACAAATACTACTGCCATTGATATATATGCCAAGAGGACCCATCAACGGTGGTAGTGTGTGTGTGTGTGTGTGTGTGTGTGTGTGTGTGTGTGTGATTATAGCACTAGATAGGTTATAAGATAGTACCTATCCTTTAGAAGCTTTGTTGAGTTCCTTACAGTTTTCTAATGAACGTATTTTCCTCCACCATCCTTTCAGTTACCACTACTATTCCTAAAAACAGTGTCTAGAAGATGTTTTAAGCCATACATGCCATGCCACAAATGCATTCCTTTTTTTCTGTTTTCCCTCCTTTACCTCAAGTGATGAGGCTTTGGGAAGGAGACAGAGCATTAACAGCTAAGCCATTAAGACCCTCCTACATCTGAGTTAGTGCAAATGCTTCTTTCGTCACAATGTAAATGTTTGCCTTAAATGGAGAGCAATAAGTGTACAGTCATTACCTAACATTTATATGGATGTGGCTGCTCAGTTTCTGGAATAAAATGGAAACGGGGTGGGCCCCCCACCATGATGGTGATTCTGGTAAAGTACCCATAAGAGTGAAGATCACATGCACAACACAGGAGGAAACATTAAGAGGTGGAGCCCAAACACAGATAACACCATCTAAAGTGCATGTTTAAATAACAGGGAATTGGGTCCAGTTTTAAACTAAATTATTTGGAAGTAATTCCCCTTGATTTCAATGGAGCTTAATTCCAAGTAAATGTTCTTGTGATTTGCAGTGCTAAGGGAGGTTTTGCACAAGACCAAGACGGGTTAAAAGTCAAGGTGCCACCGTTCTGACTTCCAAGCCCTATATACTGACCCAGAAAGAAATTCAAACAAGGTGCACACTTCTGTACGGTGCCAGAATACATTTCCATATCAGATCTACAAGGATTCATAATGCCTAATCCCTTTAAAGTGAACAGTTTCTTTTCCCTTGACATACTAGATTTTTTTTCCAAAGCAGAGAATGTATAACATATAATATGCACACAATGATATTTAAAAAGAAATAAATAAAGATATTTACTACAAGGAGTTGATTGTCAGCAAACACAATATATTTACTGCATTAGCATTTGCTCACAGTGCAAATGGTACAACAATACATCAGTTCAATATTTCTGATTTTCCCCTTTAAAATGCTGTATGCATTAACTATCATATTTGCATTACATGACAAATGAGCCAATGAAATGTGTGTGAAAATTATCACTTTTTTCACAATATCAAGCATTTTAACCTTAGTATAAGGTACTATAAATCCAAGAAATAAAAACATCCACAAAATATATTACATCTGATTTGTCTCTTTTCCCCTAAGTACTCAACTTTATACAAAAGTCTTTCAAAAAATATCATCCCCTTAGATTTTTGTAGTTAAACCTGATTTTTGTTTCTTTCAGTTCACATAGACTGCATTTCGCTCTCTCTCTCTGAGAATGTTTGTTTTAATTTTCTTTTTAACATGCAGACATCAAACCTGGATAAAACACAACCTTTTGGCAACAAGTTTTTTTATAATTATCATCATTGTTTTGCTTAAATATCTGAGCAGTTTTATTAAAACAAATGAAAAGAAAAGAAAAACAAAGCAAGACATGCAATGACATGCACGTACCAGAAGGAGTAAAGGGAAAAAGGCAAACTGCTTTCTCTCCCCACCCGTTTATGCTAAGTGACCCCTCAAATCAAAACAAAACAAAACAATAAAATCACATTATAAAAAGTACGCATTTAAAACACTGTTTTCTGCATTTCTGGAAATAATTGTCCTTGTGCTAAAAAAACAAAAAACAAAACAAAACGCATCCCAAATTGATGCCCATTAGCCCTCTTTCCCAAAATGGCATCCCCCAGGTGAGCTAAAATGACCTGGAAATTGCTAACCCGCCTCCCATTCGTTTGTTAAGGGTCTTATGAACACTTAAATAGTTCATCTGAATCTACCACGCATTCACACGCACCCCCCCCTCTCTCTCTCTCTCTCTCACACACACACACAGTGCTTTTAAAGAAGAATAGAAGGGGCAAGGGTATGAACACACAAAAAACCCGACCCTCGAAACAGACACACCCTGTAAACTCTCCTGCCTTCCCCACTCCCAACAGTAGCCTAGTCTCAGAGAAAAGTGAATAGGGATCCTCAGCAGTCCTGTACATTCAAGTCAGGGGGAGCCTGACTCCCTCCAGGCCCCTTTTCTCGCTACATTCAGAGCTGCCAACAGCGGATGACAAGAAGGTGGGCTTGGTGTGACAAATCCAATCAAAGGGATCGATAAATCCATGTTTCTTCATTCTATCTCTCTTTCCACCCAACTCCTCCTTTGGAGGAAATAAAGTTTGAAGTGCCTGCACCAGTTTCCCCAGTTACTGCCCCTTTCTCGCTTTCATCCCCCACCCTCAACAATTCTTAAAGCTATATAATAACACCCAGACTAAGTTTTGCTGTGGTCGCTATTTACAATCACTCTGCACTAGGAAGCTGAGAGTGACATGGAAGGGCCGGACCCTGTTTCGGAAAGCCCTGCTCATTTCCAAGGTGGAAGAAGAGGAGGCCGAGGAGCCAGTCGAGGAAGGCGAAAGGACAGGCGTGTGTTTGGGGCGGCGGGGGGGCGGGCGGGCGGGCCGGAGTGTCATTGGTTTTATTACAGGTTTGGAGGAGGTCGGGTAATACTTTTGGAGGGATGGGGGAGGGAGGGAGAAAAGGGAGCAAGAGGAAGACTTACGGGAAAGGGGGCTTAATTGCCAAGAAAAAAGAGGAAGGACTCTCTCCATGTGAAAAAGCCAGAAATCACCCAGGTTGCTCCCCAGTCATGGCAAAGGAGAGCAAGGCGACTCCGGCACTCCGAGAGGGAGACCAAGACAGAGGCAGCCGCAGCCACAGCAAAGCAGCACAGCCGCAGCGCCTTCCTAAGGGACTGACTGGCTCGCCATCCATTGCAAAAGTCACCCAGTTTCTTCCAGCATCTCCCCAGGGCGTTGGGACTGGGAAGGGAGGGGAGGGGGGGAAGGCTCTGGTGGGGGGCCCCGCTCCATGGTGCACAAGGGACGGGGAACTTAACTGTTGGCTAAAAAGCAGTCAAGTTCAGTTCAAGAGGCTGACACACGCACGCACGCACGCACACACACGCGCACAGACGCCTCCACGGGCAGCACGCACTGCGCTTTGGTGCCCCCCTCCATCGAGGGAGAAGGAAAGGAGGAAGATCAGAGGAAGGGCATCTGTTGGGGTAGGGGGAGAGGAATCCAGGGAAGTTTTCCCGTGTCCATCCGCTACCCTTTCACACGTGCCAGACGGAGCTCCCCCGCCAGGCACCCCATGCCCAGGACAGCTCCTCCGGGAGAAGTGGCTCAGTCCCCGCTTGCCCTCCTCTCCTAAGCCGCTGAGAATCAAGACGATCCGGCGGAAAGTTCAAGGCTTCCTCCCACCACCAGCTTGGCGGCGGCGAGAGGCTTGCGCGCAAAGGCATCCCTTTCGCGGGAGCCTGGGGAGGCCAACGGCTTCTGCCGCCGCCGCCGCTGCTCGGCGGGTTTTGCGCCCGGTGGGCACGAAAGACAGCGCTGGAGAGGCACTGGGGCTCGGCGGGGCGGGAGCAGCGTCACGCGCAGGTGGTGACCACGGGGGCCAGCGACGAGACGGCGGGCGAGCCGCCGGGCCCGGCCCCCCCGACAGCCGCCGCCGAGCCCTTGTCGGCCTTCTTCTCCTTCTGCTTGAGGTGGATCTTGGCATGCCTCTTGCGCTCGTCGCTGCGCGCGAACTTGCGCCCGCAGAACTCGCAGGCGAAGGGCTTCTCGCCCGTGTGCGTGCGGATGTGCGTGGTGAGGTGGTCGCTGCGGCTGAAGCTGCGCATGCAGATGCGGCACTGGAAGGGCTTGTGGCCCGTGTGGATGCGCAGGTGCCGCGTCAGCTCGTCGGAGCGCGAGAAGCGCCGGTCGCAGCCCTCCGCCGGGCAGGCGTGCGGCCGCTCGTGCAGGGGCGTCTTGCTGGGCCGGTTGGGGTACTTGCGCGGCCGGATGGGCTTGAGCGTGAGCGGGGGCTGCTGCTGCGCTAGGCTGCCGAAGCCCGGGTGGATCTGCTTGTCCTTGAAGGCTTTGATGGTCTCCAGGGGGGTGATGGGCGGCGGGTTGACCCGGATCGAGTCCAGGTTCTGGAAAGGTTTGTGCTCGGGGAGGCTGCCCAGGTCGTTGGGGTGCCCGTGGTAGAGGTTGTAGTCCGGGATCATGGGGAAGAGGTTGCTCTCCAGGCCTCCGCCCCCGCCGCCGCCGGGCTTGGCCCCTTGGTAATCCTGCGCCGAGTAGGAGAGGCCGGCGTTGCCCTGCGGGTCGTGGAAGGACACCGGCTCGCCCGCGTAAAGGTCACTGCAGGTGGAGTAAGGGGGCAGCGCTGGGTACATGCCTTCGACGTCGCCCTGGCTCTGGACCTGCACCATACTGCCCGTCGAGGCCTGCGCGCTGGAGGAGGGCGGCGGCGGCGGCGGAGGCACCCCCAGGATGCCCGCGCTCATCAGGCTGATGATGTTGTCCTGGCACCAGTTGGACGGCGAGTCGAAGGCGAACTTGCCCAGGTAGGTCACCGTTTTGTTGCCGCCGGGGGCGGGCTGGAAGGAGCCCGAGTACGACGACAGGTCTTGGCCGGACTTGTCGTTGGCTAAGCCAATATCCATAACATTATCTGCGGAGGGCGAGAAGGAGAGAAGCCAGAGCGGGGAGAAAAGGGGAAAGGAAGGAAGGAAGGACGGAAGAAAGAAAGAAAACGGGTCAGCGATTGCGGGGCAGGGGGAGTCGTCGGGTTGCGGGGAAGGGGCCCTTATTTAGACAAGGGAGAATTCATTGGGCGTAGGTGGGATCCCCCCCCCCCCAGTTTGGAAGTCCGAATCCTGCAAAGCCATGGGAAGGCGCGGGCAGAAGCTGAGCAGCACCGCCTCCAGCACATGGTCTTGCGCACGAGACAGATCAGGTGCAGACACAAGGAAAGAGCCGCCGTCGGGAGGCCGGGGAGGCGGAGCCCTTGAGTGTATCTGCTCAAAGATCGGGATCCTACAGGGGAGCGGCACACAAAACCCGATCAAAGGCTGATCCCCCGCCCGGGCGCCCAACTAGTGCCGGGAAACTGAGGCTCTAACTTCCAAGGAGTCTGGACTGTGCATCTCTACATAGCCATGTATGCACACAAGCACACCAGCTCTCACACAGATATGTGATATGTATGTGTCTGTAACGATTTCAGCACACGCACCACACGCACATATAGGGCGGCATACATGTACTCCGCCATATGCGCGCGCGCGCACTTGGAACGCTAGAAAGCAACAACATACAACTGTGGCACTTGCCTGGGTACGAAATGCAAGCATGTACAAACACACACGTTAGCGACATACGTACACACACCCAGACGAGACAGACACACGCGCGAGAGAATATCTAAGCGCGCACACACAAGCAGCTAACGTAATCTGCACAGGCCATCTTCGTGGGAACCCTGGGAAGCGGAGCAGGGAGGCGACTCCACTGCCGGAGCCGCCGGACGAGCCTCCGAATTTCCTACGTACTTGAGCCTCCAAGGCATCGGGCAACGCTGGTCGGGTGTCTGTGTACTTAGGGAGAGGTCCGACGAGAGCACAACCCCGGGGAGAGAGGGGGAAAGATTGGGAGAGGGAGCAGGAGGAGGAGAAGCGGGGTCAGGAGGAAGCAGGTACCTGAAGTTACAGGTAGGCTCAGGCTGCCAAGAGCGAACTGGTCTGCCTCTTGTTCTCTCTTTCTCTCTGCCGCTCTCCAGGCGTTTTCCCACCCCACCGACGCAGACCGGGACTTCCAGCAGAGCTTTACAAACTTGCCGTGATTTCTGCGTCGAGACCAGTTATGAAAAATATAAGGGGGAGGGTGTTTTTTCTTTCTCTGTCTCTCTCGCTCTCTTTTTAGGGGTGGCGGGGGAGATCAAGCAATACTGTGGAGAGGAGGGGTTGCGACTTGGCGGGGGGGGGAGTGTTGGTTGATCGAAATGAGAGAGCCCTGCGCTGCTTGTGCGGGTGAGGCCAGGCAGAACCGAACCGGGTCTGCTCTCACAGCAACGCTTGCACCAAAAGAGGCTCCAGCCCAGCGCGCAGACCTCTCGCCTCCCGGCGCAGTCCGCGCGGGTGCCCAGCGTCCCCTCCACTTCCCTGGCGGCGTCCAGAAAGAGCCGACGCAACTTCACCTGCCCCGGATGGCTCCGGCACAAGAGACGGAGGCCGAGGAAGCCCCCTCCTCTCCTGGCCCCAACCTCCGTTCTCCTCTTTGCCTACCCCCTTCTCCGACTCCAGGAATCCTCCCCACGTTGGGAAACAGAAAAAGAAGATCCCTCTCACCCGCTCCCACCCGCTCCTCGTTCCGACATGATTTCTGTATACGTATAGCTAAAAAGAGGCAGGAGAATGAGGGGGTGCTGGGTTGTGTGCGTGTGCACAGGGAGGAGGGGTGCCCGCGCGGCGATGGCAGCCTGTGCCACAGAGAAGCCACAGCGCACGGAGAGGGAGACAGACACACGCACAAGGACTACCAGACACGGGGGGAAACACACACACACGGACATGCATGCGAAGGACTTGCAGGGGAGAAGGGCGAATCAGCCCCACGGCCACCGGCGTACGCCCGAGAGACCCGTGGCGAGGCCTCCAAAGGGCAAAGTCCACGGGGCGCGAGGGAGAAGGGCGGCTTCCAAGGGCCCCTCGCCCGCCCGCCCAGCCTGCCAGCCCCTTCCCCACCGTACCTTCCAGCTTCTCCCCCCGCTGGGAGTTCCTGCCTGCCCCTCTCCTCCGGAGCCCGGCAGCGCAGCGGCAGCAGCAATGGCTCCAGCGCGCAGAGGAGGCGGTGGAGAGATGGATGGGAGATGGGGGTAGGGGCAGATCCACAGGCTCAGCTCCGGCCTCTCTTTGCCCGCGAAGGCTTCACCGCCCGCCCACCCACCCCCGACAGAGCGACATGCTTCGCCCCCTCCCTCCCCCCCCCAACCGCCACACGCCCCCTCCCCCTTCCTTCTTTACCTGTCGCCATCTGGTTATTATAGTGAGCCACCGACGCCTCGCCGTTGCTGGAGAAGATGTTCAGAGAGTTGGGGATCTCCTCGGGGTACAAATTGTCAGGCAACTGGTTCATCAAAGCGTTCATGGTCCCTGGCAGCTTATCCACGAGTTTGCCTGTCATAGCACTGGAGGAAGAGGAGAAGGAGGCTGCGGCGGCGGCGGCGGGTTCAAAGCGGCTCCGAGCTCCGCTCCTGACAAGGCGGCATCCGCGTGGCAAATCCGTGCGAAGGAGACCATGCGAGAGAAAAGTTGCGGCGGCAAGGGGGGCGCTGCTGGGGGAGGAAAGAAGGCGCTGTGGGCCCGGGGAGGGGGCCAGTGGGCGGAGGAGGGTGGGAAGGTGGGTGGTCGGCGGGGGCGCGCAATCCTCGGTGGATCCCCGGAGGTGTTTCCTGAAGGGAGGAGGTGGGAGTCCCGATCTGCTTTGCAGATGTGATGGCAGAAGATGGTGGGAATCTTTAATCCCTCCCTGCCTCCCCTCCTCCTCCTCCCCGGCCTCGCTCTTCCTTCCCTGCCTTCTTCTCTCGCTCGTTCAGCAGGTTCCCTCACTGCAGCCCAAATGCTCAGCCAGGGAAATCCGCCAGCCTATTTATGTGAGCGACGGGAAAGCTCCGTGACGTAGCTGCCCATATATGGACAGATAAAGCGGCGCCGAAGCCGAGACGTCACAATGGAAGCTCCTCACAATGGAACGTTTCGAAAGCAGGAAGCAGCGAGAGCTGCGCGCTGCCGCCGCCGCCGCCGCCGCGACCCCGGCCGGGCGAAGAGGAGCCCGGGACGGCCACCTGGCCGGGGGGCAAGGACGGGTCGCCGCTTGGGGGCCTCTCCGGAGGCCGCCCTCGGCTCCGCGCGCCTGCCTGGCTTGCAAAGCATCGCCAGGCGGCGGACCGGCGAAGGGCACGGGCTGGCGAGCGCCCCACGCCCCCTGCGCGCTTCCTCCAGCACTCTTGACCTCGTGCTCGTCTTCGGGGAGGAGGAAGCGGGGGAGAATAACGCGCCTCCGCAGCAGACAGACACGCGTCCTTGTTTTCACAGCGCCCATTGCTAAACAGCTCCGCTGTGCTGCAGCTGCCCTCTTGAGCTTTGGGTTGCATCCACAGACCCGTGCGCACGCCGCGGGATCCGAGCCGCGAAGAAGGCGCCACTCCGCAGCAGACGAGCAGCCGGAGGGGCCGGACCCCGCCGCCCCGCCAGGACCCCCTTCCAGCCACAGCAAAGTCCTTCCTTTGGGGCTCGCCCTGCGTGTCCCCCGAGCGCTGGAGCTGCGCAGAGAGATCTAGGAAAACGCACCATAGAGCGAATAGGCCTAAACGCCAGGCAGTCGGTAATGATACGCCCAACGCCCCGATCCGCTAAGCTCCAAAGGAGCCCAGTGTGGCCTAAAAGCAGGGATGAGGGACCTGTGGTCCGCTAAACGCGGTGGGATCAGGGGTAACTGTTGATACCGTCCAGGAACATCTGCAGAGCCGCCCGCAGCTTAGTCACCCCTGGCCTAAAAAGTTCCCCCCTCATCCTCAAAACAACGTGGTGAGGTAGATCTACCTGGCGGGCTGATTTTATAAATGAATAAGCAGGCCGTAAGAAACGCAGCGCAAGGCTCCAGAGCGAACAGGCCAAAGCTTTGGGCAGAGCGGAGATCCTCGCGGACCCTCGCCCTGGTCCTAAGCCAGGGAACAAAGCCGGTTGCCAAGAAGCGTCAACCGCTGCAGCCGCTGCTTTTGTGGGAGTCGAGTTCGGATGGAAATAGGAAGGCCATGGCAGACTCGGCTTCCCCTCGCCTTGTTCGCCGCCGACGCGGCCCCCTCCCCTCCCCCCGCTGCAATAATTCTCGGCTGGGAATCAGACGCAGCAATATAGTATATCGAGCAATTTCAAGCAAGCAGCACTTTGTCAGTGATTTCTAGCCCTCCCCTCCTCCCGGTTTAAAGTTTGGCACTTGTGAGGCGTCAGTAATTAGGTGGTTTCGTGCTAAGTGTGCCAACTGATGCTATCTTTAAATAAAACCCTCCGAGTTATGTAGCAAATGTATGGAAAAATTATATGTTGCAATAGCTCGACTTACCCAACTCCTGCACGGCCAGCTCTGCAACGGGAGTGAAATGCAGGCTGGAAGGGAACCTGGATTGGGCAAAGGGAGGGGGAGAGAAGCGAGTGGCGGGGCAGGAGCGCGCGAGGAGGCTGAGGAGAGCATCTCCGGAGATCAGACACCCACAGTCTTCTTCTTCTTTAACTGTAGGGCACGTGTAAAGTAGGATTTCTACTTGGGGTGATGGTAGAGGGCGAGGCACAGCGCCAAGATGCCTTACAGTCCCGATCTTAAAATCCTAGAAATGTAAGAAGGGACCACGAGGGTCATCTAGTCCAACCCCTTGCAAGGCAGGAACCTTTTACTCCTTGGTGGCTCAGCTGGTAGAGCACGAGACTCTTCATGCCAGGGTCGAGGGTTCGAGCCCCATGTTGGGCATTGCAGGAGGTTGGACTAGATGACTCTTGCGGTCCCTTCCAGCTCTACAGCTCTATGATTCTATTCCATGTGGGGCTCGAACCCACGACTCTGAACTTATGAATCTCATGCTCTGCCAACTGAGTTATCCCAGCTGAGTTGTTTTAGGTGTCTTTACCCAGAAACAAGCCCTACCGCGCTTGATGGAGGGTTAGTTCCACGCGAGGCTGCAGCGCTAACTTCGATAGCGCAGTAATTCTCGATGGAGGTGGCTAGGATTGCGCTGTAAGCCCGTGTGCACAGAACTGCAATCTCAGGCTGTAATCCTTCAGGAGAGTTGAGCCTCACTGAAAATAGTGGCACTTGCCTCTGAACCTGTACAATAGAACTGCATTGTAAGATTTCTTTGGGGTATTTGCGTGTTTGCCCATATCATTTCTTTATTTGTTCCTTACATTTTCTATTCCACCCTTCTTCCTGTTAGGTGGCTACACGTGGTCGCAGGAGATCACCCACCCAGCAGACCCAGTCCTGCTTAGCTTCAGCCCGGCGGCGGCCTCGTCACCCTTCAGGCCGTATCCTGAGAAGGTTTGGGGCGTCGAAAGCGGTGCTGACTAACTTATGGGCTACTATGAGGCGCCCCCGCCCCCCATTTACTTCTAAGACGACGAAGCTGTTACCTGGATCATTCCCCAAGAGCGCCTAGATATCCGGTTACTATGAAGTGCTGGAAACCAACCACGACAAACGTATTAAGAAAAATGGAGGCGGGGGACACTTCTTTTGGCGGGAGGGAACGACTTTATCTCTTTAAAAACAGACGTTTTGAGCTTTGCAGTCAATCCTGCCTCCCCTCTGCTGAAGCCTGAAGGCGCAAGGGAGGGTGGGGGGCAGGCGCCCTTTGGGATTCCGCTCTCCCCAGCAGGAGATGCTGGATGACTTCGGTGCTGCAACAGGACTCCTGTGCAAGTCCGAAGATGGGGGTGTGGGGAGTCAAAGCCCTCGGCCTGAGCCTCTTCTCCCCCCCCGACCCGGCAGGTGGATGCGCGCCCCCTCCCCCAAACCGGATTCGAGCAGAAGCGCGCGCGGGCCGGCAGCGCGGAGAAGAAGCGCTTGGTTCGGGACTCGCGGCGTCTCCTTCGGGAGGAGGGGTCGGGCTGGGGGAGCAGCAGGAAGGGGCAGCCGCGGCGCCAGCGAGGAGGTCCGGAGCCGGAGCCGGGCCAGGGTCGAGCGAGGACTGCTGCGAAGAGGCGGGAGGGAGGAGCAGGCAGGGCGGGGGCGGGGGCCGAGGGGGGGGGCGCCCCCTGCGCGGGCATCGCCTCGCCGCCGCCGCCGCGGGCTTGGCTGGGCCGCCAGCCGAGGGGAAGCGCCATACAAGGCCAGGATCCGGGCCCGCCCCGCGCTCCTTATTTGGCGCCCGGTTCCGGCTCCCCGGTGGCCTCCCCCCCCCGCTCTCGCTACCAGTGGAAAGAGAGACGGAGGCGCAGCGGAACCCGCAGCCTTTGCCGGGGGAGGGGAGCGCGGAGGAGCCCCGCGGGCCTGGGCCCGGCCAGCCGAGTTGCGCCCCGCAGCCAGGATCTTGGGGCGAGGAAGGAGCCCAGTCTGGTCTGCTGCCTCCTTCCCCGCAGAGCTGCCGAGGGAAATCAATGTTCTCCTGCTAGTTCCTCTTCTTCTCTCCCCCCCACTGCGTTGCAACCGTGCCCCCCTTCCTCTCTCGGTGCACATAGCACGATTGCAATCTCTCTCTCACCCCCCCCCCCAAGTTAAACTAATGGAGCAAGCCAGCGCCAAAGATTCGTAGAACTGTGAAGTTGGACGGGGTCCCCCAGAGTCATCTAGCCCAACCCCCTGCGATGCAGGAATCTCACCAGAAGCATCCCTGGCAGATGACCACCCAGCCTCTGCTTAGAAACCTCCAAGGAAGGAGAGCCCACTGCCTATGTACCCCAAGGGGGAGGGATGCTTCTCCGGCCTGCATTTCAGACTATGCGAGTTTGTTTAAAGTTTAATTGACTATTGTATTTTAATATTCTGTTGGAAGCTGCCCAGAGTGGCTGGGGAAACCCATCCAGATTATTAGTAGAGAGAAGGCACTCGGCAGCAGTTATTTGTGGCTTAAAGTGGCAGCTGTATGGCTTCGGCTTGATGTTTCATTTGTGAGCCGCCCTGGGACGCCATGGCTGAAAGGCGGGGTGCAAATAAATTGGAGATAACAAGTGCTGTACGCGCTTATGGCGAACAGAACTGACAGTGGAATCCTGTGCCTGGTTACTCTGCAAGCCAGTCCTCCTGTGTACAGTTGGGGTTTCCCAGGAAATATGTTGAGGATGGGAGCTTCAGTGTCTCTCTACAAGAAAACATGATAAATAGGTACACACAACAAAAACACAAATCACATGTGTGTGTGTGAGAGAGAATTTGAGTTGTGTTGATTAAATTGCTAGATTATGAGCTTTAAAATAGGAAAATGAGAACTGCTCTTAAAATAATAATAATAATTATTATTAATAAAGCAACAATAATAAAAACATTTCCCCTTATCAATTTGTACTGCAATCCTCAGCATGTTTACTTGAAAGTAAGTCTCACTGGGTTTAAACGAACAGACTAAACTTAAAAGGGCAACATGTCAGCATCCTTATTCTGGAATAGATCTCAAGAGCTTTCCCACTCCAAAACTACTCCCAAAGCTCATTTGTGCTGCCCTCCCCCCCCCATCTGATGCTGCTTCTGCTTCTCAGTGGAGGTGTAGGAATCTGTGACCTCACTGCCTGATAAGGGCAGAGGGCCAACTGCTTGCAAGCTTTCTGGAAGTGGGCACTAGACCTTCCTGTTGTGGGCAAACTGTGGAGGTTTCGGCTGCCTGCTCCCTGTGGTCTAGGCAGTAGGCGTCCAGGATCTTATTCAAAATAAACCTACTTCAGCAGTGAAACCACACAGCACTCAAGGCATCCTCACACAAAGCAGGACAGATTATCCTGTCCCCCTCCTTTAGACTGTGGGCACAGCTTGGCAGGGCATTTGGGATGTGTGTGAATGGGGGGGGGAATCCTTATGGCATCCCACCCATCATTTAACTTAACCAGCAGCACATTTGAATGAGGCTTATGTTGGGCACAACCTGGTGAATAATTTCATCCCCCCCCCTGTACATGCCTACCTTCCACCCTCTAGGGTGAGGGAAATCTACTGCATCTTCTCTCATGAGAGGGTCACTGCTGGGTGTAGTAGCCAGATGAATGTCTAACAGGAGAGCTTTGGTTTAAGGCT